ATAGGATGGGGCTTGTCATCTTTGTGCTAGGGGTCAGGGAAGGGAGCGTTTCTTCCAACTACTGAAAGTATTTGAAATCTATTTACCATATACCAAATATACCTCCATTTATATTTGAATTATATACTTGAGTTATGACAAGATCACTCTCTCAAAACAATAAGGCAAAAAGAATCAATGCAATCCCTATCAAAATACCAACAACATTTCTCACAAAACTAGAACAAATAATACTAAAATTTGTATGGAACCACAAAAGATCCCAAATAACCAAAGCAATCTTGAGAAAGAAGAACAAAACTGGAGGTATCCCAATTCCAGATTTCATGATATACTACAAAGCTGTAGTAATAAAAACAGTATGGTATGGGCACAAAAATAGATACACATAGATCAATGGAACAGAATAGAGCCCGGAAATAAACCCACACTTATATAGTCAATTAATATATGACAAAGGAGGCAAGAATATATGAGGAAAAAAAAGTCTCTTCAATAAATGGTGCTGGGCAAACTGGACAGCTACATGAAAAAGAATGAAACCACACCACTTTCTAACACCATACACAAATATAGATTCAAAAAGGGTTAAAGACCTAAATGTGAGACCTGAAACCATAAAAATCCTAGAAGAGATAGTCGTTTCTTTGACATCAGCTGTAGCAACATTTTTCTAGATATGTCTCCTAAAGCAAGGGAAACAAAAGCAAAAATAAGCTATTAGGACTACATCAAAATAAAAAGCTTTTGCACAATGAAAGAAACCATCAGTAAAACAGAAAGACAACCTACTGAATGGGAGAAGATATTTGCAAATGGTATGTCCAATAAGGGGTTAATTTCCAACATATATAGAGAATTTATACAACTCAACACCATAAAAACAAACAAGCCAATTAAAAAAAGGGGTAGAGGACCTGAATAGACATTTTTCCAAAGAAGACATCCAGATGGCCAACAGACACATAATAATAAAGTGCTCAACATCACTAATCATCAGGGAAATGAAAATCAAAACCACAATGAAATATTACCTTACACCTGTGAGAATGGCTAAAATAAAAAAGACAAGAAATAACAAGTGTTGTTGAGGATGTGGGAAAAAAAGGAACCCTCATATGCTGTTGGTGGGAATGCAAACTGGTACAGCCACTGTGCAAAACAATATGGAGGTTCCTCACAAACTTAAAAAGAGAATTACCATAAGATCCAATAATTCCACTACTGGGTATTTACCCAAAGAAAATGAAAACATTAATTTGAAAGGATATATGCACCCCTATGTTTATGGAAGCATTATTTACAATAGCCAAGATATAGAAGCAACCTAAGAGTCCATCGATAGATGGACAGATAAGGAAGATAGGGTACACACACACACACACACACAGAAATATCATGCAGCCATTAAAAAAGGATGAGATTGTGCAATCTGCGACAACATGGATGGACCTAGAGGGTATTATACTAAGTGAAATAAGTCAGACTGAGAAAGACAAATACTTCATGATTTCACTCATATGTGGAATCTAAAAAAAAATGAATAAACAAACAAAAAGCAGAATCAGCCCTGTAAACATAGAGAACAAACTAATGGTTGCCAAAGGGTGTGGGAGATAGGCAAAATGGGTGAAGGGAGGGGAAGGTACAGATTTCCAGTTATGAAATGAATAAATCATGGAAATAAAAAGCACGGCATAAGGAATACAGTCAATAATATTATAAATAACAATGTTTGGTGATAGATGATAGCCATTCCCGTGGGCATAGCAAGTGTTTAAACTCGTCAAAGAGCTACCGTGTATTCCTGCAATAAATAGGACATTGTGTGTCACCTACACTCAAATAATAAAAAAGAATAAGACAAAAAATAAAGGAAGAGAGAGAGTGATAAAAAAGTGAAAGAGGGAGGTAGAGAGGGAAAATGCAAGAGAGGAGACAAGGTTTAGAAAGAAAGGGGATAAACAGTGATGTGAGAGATTAGATGTCTACATAATTCTTTTTCCTACCCACTTCTCATTCAATTCACTTTGGAATGTCATAACTTTGCTGATAAAACCAATTACATGAGGTTAACTAGTGTTAACTATTTCTTTCTACAGTTTATAGAACGCGTTCATTCACTGGTGATCACGTCTAAGAATGTGTCCTTGTTAATTAGAACACCTTAGCAGATTACTGGGCTAAAATACATGTCTCAAATGAATAAATAAAATCTTTAAAAAAATAAAAAAAAATACAGATGAAAGGTTGTGCTGCCAAATATCAGGATAACAAAAGTGAAAAACAGTTCTATCATTTAACTCAAAGAACTTGTAGGCCGAGTTCCAGTAGCTTCTCTCATTAACGTAATTCCATTGGCTTCAGACATTTCACCCCTGCAGTTAAGAAAAGTGTCCCTGAAGTTAGGAAATTGCTGCCTCTCACAACCTCTGCGACCTTGGCAAAATTAACTAACTGCCCTTGTGTCTCAGCTTCCTCATCTATAAAATGGGGGACATGGTAGCACCTACTTACTGAAGAATTAATAAGGCACTCACTGGCACACAGTAAGGGTTTAATATGTATCAGCTCTTAATATATGCATGTGCTAATCCCTCATCAAAAAAACCGCCTCTTCTTCTTTCCAAGATTTTATATCCAAATGCAAATGAAACTTGAGACAATGCCGAAGATTGAAGAGGTCAGATATAAAGGATCAAATTATCCCAGAAATATACAAAGCAGTGGAAAGCACCACGGTTGGCAGGTCAGGAGGGAGAGAGGTTATCCTGTAATGAATGCAGTGCAGCAAAGTGGTTGAAAGTTTAGGTTTTTGGGAATCCGAGTGATAAGGCATGGAGGGTCAGCTTTTCTAATTACTGTGGCAGGACTCTAAGCAAGTTACTTAACCTGTCTCACCCCCAGTTTCCTCATCTGAAAACATGTGCTGGTGCAGTAAAACAGTTCCTCTTTTTTGAGGATTAAACTAGATACTTTTTAAAACGTGCCTAATACAGTGTGTCAGTATGTGGTAGCTTAAAAAATATCTTGAGTTCCAGCAATACACTCACACTTCCATTTACACGGCAGGATAAAAATAAATATACGATGGTATGATCCAGCCTCCTAAATGCTTGCAAGCCAACTGGGGAGGCCAGACAAATGGATAATGTGTAGTAGAAGACAATCTATATTTGAATTTTCAAACTCTTCTTGTTAAGATGACATTTCTCTTTTTCCTGTTGCTTTATCCAATCATCATTCATTTTCTTATCTATCTTGTATATAAAAATTCATGAAAGTTTTCCATCCTGAGTTGGGCTATTTAAAAGGAAATATTTTATTGTGGAGAGAAGAAAAAAAGCAAACATACACGACTTCTTATGGCTTATTTCTACCTTGTCTTAATTTATTTCTTATTAGCAGAAAACTGTATTTGTTATAGAATGGAATTTTATGGCCAAGGAAGAGAGTCATTTTCGTTTTGTTTTGAGTAACCAAAAGAGAAAAACAAAGAAAGCAGAGTAGAAATTGACCCTGGAGAGGAGGTCATCTTGGCAGATGCTAAAATAAGAGGGAAAAGGGAGGAACTATAAGGCTTGGAATATCTCAAAGACACAGGCTGAAAAATGCTTTGGTAATGGGGGGGTGGTGCCTGTGATTCTATACCTACAAACATTAAAAAAAATAAACACAACTGTTTTTCATTAAAAAAACAAAAGTTAGTTATGTTAAAGAAAAAAGCTCAACACAATCTCTTTCACTGAAGGTTCTTGACTGGAGACTGAAATTGCTGTTCAGCCTCAGTTTCCTTTCCTCAAAGGACAGGGTTGGAGAACCCACCAACTTACAGAGTTTAAAAACATGGTGCTCAAGTGCCACCACAGCTGTTGTTTTACTACCAGCCTGAGAGGGAGACCTCAACCTAAACTCCTCCTCACTTAGATCCTAGTGGCTTGTTGGGTACAGAACCAACTGGAGTGTAGCCTGCACTAGGTTGCTGAGACTGTGTCGAGTGAAGAGAAACAATTTTCCACCGGGGAAATCAGCAAGTGAATAGATGGTTCGTGGCAGTGTGTTCTCATCCCAGAAAGCACTAGGGGGTAACTACATGAGGGCAATAAATATATTCCCCAGAACAACATGAAACTGGAAATCATTAGACAATGATACCTATCATCGAAGGGCAAAGTGCCACATACCGCCCACCCCCCCCCGCCCCGAACACACCTGTTGTCATCTGATCGCAGACACTAAGCAGAAAAGGGCCTGATTAGTGCTTGGGTGGGAGACCGAAGGCAAGACAAAAAGAGAGCTAGCCCCTGGGTCTCTGGAGAAAAAAGTGGGTTCTCTATTGAAAGCACATTGAGAATTAATAACCCTTGCTTTACAATCTGGGCGCTAAGTGACATTTCTGAGTTTCTTCCTTAAAATCAGCTCATTTTCTTTGGTTTTGTATGTCTGTACATCAGTTTTCATTGGGGTCAGAGGATATAAAGAATGAATGGGGTAAATTCAAAGGTATCAAGAGAATCAGTTAGACCCACTGATTTAAAGGGTGTCATGGAAAAGGAAGTGGATATTTCTGACTCACCCACAGTTCAAAATGCAGCTCCATTTGGACTTATGACCCAGGCTGTTTCAACACCGTGGGGCACCCACTGTTGATGTCTACAATGTTGATGAGCCTCAGGTGGGAGAAAACCACCCACCCAAAAGGCTATTTTGATAGCAACTACTGACAGTGAATTCAGTTTAATAGTCTCCAGCTTATATTTTCTAAATCCAAAACTCTGCTGGTAAGCTATCATTGCTTAACTGTCATTATTTGAAATACTAGTGGAAATGTTATCACTCTGAACCTGTGGGTAAAGCATTTTTGTTTTTTGGTTTTTTTTTTTTTTTGCAATCTCACCATCATTTTAATTTAGTTTACGTTTCTAGTCATTTGCACAGATGTTGATGGAGCTATATTTTTGCTTCAATGTCTATCGCAATATTCTTATTGCATTCTGCAGGTCCTCCAGTAAACGTTACTTGCAATATTTTTATCAACAGTTTTGGATCAGTCACAGAAACCACCATGGTAAGTGCTACAATGCCACTGGCAAGAGAAAGACATGACTTGATTATGCCATGAACACAACCTGTCAAATTTTCTATTTATTGTTCAACTTGCAGGGCCTCCTGTAAATGTTACCTGCAACATATTTATCAACAGCTTTGGGTCAATAGCAGAAACTACGATGGTGAGTGGGGCTGAGCATTGAAGCCATCGTGTGAAGGAATGGGATATGGGATCGAAGAAGCACTGTTTCATATTGTGGGACACTTACTGAATGCCAATTTCCATGTTCATTTACCTCTAGAAAGTGATTATTTATACACTTTCACTTTAGAAAGTCATTAGTCAAATGTTCATTACTTCAAATTCAATAATAATTTTATCCATCATGCCAAAGAAATTTTGCAAACACTTGCTGTTTGGTTGGATTTAGGTAGAATTATCAGTAATAAACACAGTGTAATGTTAAGGATATTTAAATATTTGTATCTCTAATATTTCAGAAATATAAATTTCAAAGTTCAGGAGATATATTTTATAGCCAGTCTTTTTCACATAATGGAAGTTTTAACACAGTCAAGCCTCAGATATGTTACATTTAAGATATATGCCAAAGGGGCTGACCTTACAATAAACACACACACACGCACACACACACATCTTGTTGGCAAAAGAAAGTAGTCCCAAGTCCATAGCAATTACATCACATGCATGGCTCCCTCGCCCCCCCCAAAACCCCAATAAACATAAAACTAATTATAAGCTCATCATAATGTATGTGCAAACATGTCTCATTTGCACGTTTGCATGAAAAAGACTTCAGATACTATAAAATCCACGAATATTCCTTCTAAATGTCATGGTGATGGTGTTGCCTGTAATATAGCCTATTAGATCTATAGCCTTACAGTACTAGGCAATAGTGTGGAGACTGACTTTTGGGTGAAATTTCTTCTTGGTCCTCATACTATTTATTTGAAGTCTTAAATCAATTGGCTAATTTTCATGATTATGTATAGAGTCATATTATTGGATGAAGTCAAAATAAAATATAGTTGAGCTTGACTGAGTACTATGGTGGCTGATGTCCTAGAAACACTCAAGTGAAATAATGAGCATAATGCCATTGAGAAGTAAAAAACAGTGTTCCCTTGTCTTTATGAATTTTCTCTTTTAGGCTACTAAGATTGTGTTTAACAAATTACTGTACTTTTTGGTGTCCTTGAGCTAAAAAAAAAAGTTATTTACCCTTTACCATTCCTTTTCACTGGCAAAATTAGACATAATGCAACTCTACTACCCGTTTTAATATTACTGACACAGCATTGTCCAGAAATGAGACTTCTGGTGCTTTGACAGTATGTAGTGAATTAAGAATTTTACTCAAATAAGATAGGTTTTTTTTTCTTAAAGATTTTATTTATTTATTTGACAGAGAGAGAGAGACAGCGAGAGAAGGAACACAAGCAGGGGGAGTGGAAGAGGGAGAAGCAGGCTTCCCGCCGAGCAGGGAGCCCAATGCGGGGCTCGATCCCAGGACCCTGGGATCATGACCCGAGCCGAAGGCAGAGGCTTAACGACTGAGCCACCCAGGCGCCCCTCGAATAAGATAGTTTTGGTAGGGTTATTAAATGACTCACAAGACAAGGTAAACATAGAAAGACTAATCCAGCCCCGGGCTTGGCATTCAGTTTCTGTCTCTCCCCTCTTGGTTTTATCCTGAGAACAGAGGGGCAAATCTTCCAGCAGCCCAAATCACTGTACCAGCTTTACACCATGGCGTTCAATGACGATACTTGCACGACCTAATGCTGATTGCATTAATTAGACTCCTACGTTGCTTTGATTAAATCTCCCCATTGCATTTACCCTCAATCAAAAATGTAAATGTGCACCTTTTCAATGTTTTTTAACGCGAGAAAAAGCTAAACACTCACGGAGATGAAAACGGAAACTCTGGATGTCCTTGTTTTCCTGTCTTTAATAGCTACTGAAGGTGTTTAATAAATGGTCTGCTTAGGTGCTTCCTGGCCACTTATTAAGGTGTCCTTTGTCATGTTTCCTATGAGAAAACTCGGAAATCACTGCTCAAGTGTAAAATGAACAGTCTGCCTATCTTGCCTTTTGAGATAGACTGAATCGCATGGTCAGAAGAGGGATGCATATTGTGATTCTTTTATTCCTTAGCTTTTGATGGAATGACAACCTTCATTTGGCTTTTAAAAAGGATCTTTTCTTTCCTTCAATTAAAGCTTGTGTGTAAAACTAAAATAAATATTTTTGGAAGCTCTATCATGCTTAATAAATCCTCATGCCATGTAGGGTAGGGACTGGCCAACATTTTTTCTGTAAAAGGCCAGACAGTAAATACTTAAGACTTTGAAGCCCTGCCAGTCTCTACCACACTCAATTCTGCCCTTTGGGCGGGAAAACAACCATAAACAATAGTAAACAATTGGGTGTGGCTGTACTCCAAAAAGCAGGCCATAGATTGCCAACCCTGGATCTGAGGCATCAGTATTTAAATAGATGTTAAGCGGATGCTCAAAAGAATATGAGAGTTGCTCCACCTTGAAAGGGTCTATCTTGCTAGACCCGTGGGGCCCTGCCTGGGAATCCACCCTCTGAGTTACAGAATATCATCGCAGCCCAAACTTCCCTTAACCAAACCTTGAGATTCCACCACTCGTGAATTGACCCATATTTTCACAAATTCTGACTGAAAGAAAATTGGTCAAAAAAGTTAAACAGAACCAGATTTTTCTCTGAACTGTCTTTAATTGAAGTCAGAACATCAGACCCTTAGTTTTTCCGCACGGTAATGTATGTGGTCACTGAGGACATGGCTCAGTGCTATTGGGGAGCAATAATAATTTTGCTTTCTCTCTGTGTTCTGGAATGAATTTTTCCAAGAATGCCTCAGAATTTTGAGTTTCTAAACAGGTTGATTTTCCCCTCTTCCCTCATGCTCCGTTCTCACTCTACAACCCTGATAGCATTATTGAAGGATCCAGTTCGGGTATTTGTTTCTAAATAAGAGGCAATGACTATCCATTTTAAGAACTCAGGATGTCTTCCTTCTGGTGCTATCAAGTTTGCCCCGCTTATGTTTGATATTATCTCACTAAATTATTGTTGGTACTACCTGCCCACAAAGTATAGGTTCACTTACAGACCCAATACTGCCTCTCACTCCTCTCATGTGTTAGTGTTGAATATATGTGATCGGAAGACAATATATTTGTGTTATTCTAAGGAAAATTTTTATGAATCATTATGCTGATACACATTATTCCAAAATACACACTTTTTTTTAAAAGTAGGCTCCATACCTGGCGTGGAGGGCATGGAGACCAGCCTGGGGCTTGAACTCACAACCCTGGGATCAAGACCTGAGCTGAGATCAAGAGTCAGATGCTTAACCGACGGGGCCACCCAGGCTCCCCTAAAATACACACTTTTCTTCATGAAGAGTCACGAGGATCTGTTGATGGGTCACTGCTAGTTGACCCTGTATTAAGAGATTTCAACAGAATAATCTTTTTGTGGTTCCAAACGACTTAGGAGACTAGTAAGAGATGTATGGTGAAACAGTTTATATTTTGTCTGGAGAATGTCAGTTTACCGTTTCTTTTTCTATCTTTCCCCCTTTTCTTTAGCTGCTGATGGCAAGTGAATTTAGAGGATGGGGAGTGTATTACAACTCCCACTTTCCTGATATAAAGACATACTTTGGGAATATTATAATGTCAGTAAAGGTCAAGAGTATTTGCATACCATCTGCATACAGCTCTCCCCAAGGCTGGGCCATCAGAAAGTGAAGAAGAGATAGTCTCAAAGGATGTGGGTGGATAGAATGTGACTTGGACCTGTGGGTGCTGGAACACTCCCCATGCCACAGTAGCAGATCCTGACTCCCTCCTCATTTAACGGATTTGAGGTGGGGGAGAAAGAGCTGAAAATGCATAAAATGTGTTCCCTCAGAGCGTATCTCCACAATATGATTCCAGCTCCCCCAAGCTTGTCCCCAAAAGATAAGTTCCATATGCTCTGCTGGTTACTGCTGCAGGGTGTTTTATCTCTGATGTGAAATCACATTCTGAGGAAGTGGATAAGAGGTAGACAGCCCCTTAGGAGGATGCCTGCTGGGCTGGCACTGCTGAACTAACATTATGGGCTCCCTTTCATTCTATAGCTGCATCAGCAATTCATGAGGAATAGCAGGTAGCGACATTTCTTATTTCTGACTTTTTAAGGAAGAACCAAGGGTCTACCCCAAGCCTGGCATTTTGTTAAACTGAGATAGAAGGTGACCTTGGTCTCTAAATTAACAGTGCAATGTTAAAGCCTGAATTCATCATAAAACAACTGCACCCCTCCCCATAATTCCAAATTCAAGGCTAACTTCCCATATTAAAGCTAGCACAGATTCAGGAGGATGAAAACTTTACTGCAGTATAGCCAGAGGTTAAAACCAAAGGGCCACATTGGCACTGTGGGGAATCAACAAAGCATATCCTTGTGGTTGATAACTTTACAACATAATTGGATTGAGAAATGTATACATATAAAAATAATAAGAGAGTAACAGTAAGATTTAATATGAGTATGTATGAGACAGAGTGGCAATCTCTGTGCATAAATGCTAGACCAAATACAATAGTACCAAAATAATTCAATTTAAGGAAATGATCTGTGGCATGGGCATAGCATTAGAAGGTATTAGGAAAAGTGAAACTTTAGAAATAATAAACTCGATGTAAAATAATAGTATGGAATGTAGGTACTTGTAGTACCTGTGTTAAGAATATAATAAAGATTATACGACTTACACACAGCATTTGAAAAAATACATATGTATTTGCATATATATATATATATATATAAATTCAAATGTTTCCATGACCTAATCTAATACCCAGAGAGTCAATCATAGGAAAACAAATTGTAATACAAGGAAATATGACATCTATTTGAAGTAGAATATGTCTTTGTAGAGAGAAGGCAGTGTAAAAGAAAATTCAGTCTGCATTTAAGCATGTCTCTCAATATTTACTCCACCTTTAATATTTTATTAAACCTAGAAGCAAACACAAAGACAAAGAAAAACTACAGAAGAATATAACTATCTCCTGTGGTTTGGAATATCATGAGGAAATAAACTTATCTCTAAATAAACAGAGATGATGCGCAGAGAAATCACATGTGTCAAATTTTTATCCTACATTGAAAATCATAGTGAACTGAGAGAATTACAGAGGTCCAGCCCCAGAAAATCTTTTCCTTGGATGTCTATGTCTCTAGTTCCTTAGGTGTCATTTTCTAAAGTGTTTTAAGAGTTGCTATTTATTTTAGAATAGTGTGTATCATCATAAACAAAAGTATGGAAAATTATAATTCCTATACATTTATATAAAGGATACCTCCAAAAGATCTAACAGAAGTTGTATTTCATATAATTCCTGTCATTGTGGCATAAACTATATTTTTTCTCTAAGTTTTCTACTTATCCTTGCTTACAAATAGGATTCATTTATTTTAAACTAACTGTTAGACATTTAATGGTTCTATTGCGATATGATAGATTCAGTATTCTTTTTAAAGTTCTAATATTGGGAGAATCTATTTTATCATTTTCTAGATATAAAACTCAAAGTAGGAAACCAGGAAACACTGGAGAAGAATGCTCATGGGAAAGACTTTTTAAAAAAAGATGTACATTAGTTGTGAAAATTTATATTGATATTTTTTTAAAGGTCAATGTTTTCATATTGTATGTCATCATGTAATATTTTCTAGAGTCTTTCAATATACAGCTTTAAATCATTCTCAGGCTCAAGGGAGGATTGCAGTGATGTTCTCTTAGTGATTTCGCTGCCCAGTACTGTCTGTCTGGCTTCTCTGGCCTTTCCCATCCTACAACTGCTTCCTAGACAGGGGCGGGAGCCTAGTTGGCTTCCCAATGGCCTAAGATATTTAACACATTCACCTCTATTATTTCTAGCTGTCATTACTTCTCATACTTAGAGTTTCTCTACCTCCAGAGTTATCTAAGGGATGAAATTCTCTGAAATTCTCTTTTCTCCTACTTCCTACTGAAACAAGCTCAGAGACCACCCCTCACCCCACACACCACATTTTGTTAAGGAAAACTGGCTTTTACTCAAAGGGATATAACAGGGGTGGATGTCAAACACTGGAGAAACTGCATTTTTCTCTCAGAAAACCTTAAGGAAAGCTCACAGTTCATGTATCTAGTTCATACTTATATGTAAATTGGATTATTGTATTTTCAATAGCCCCTTTTTTTGATTTTCTACATATCACACATCCTCACTCTTTATTCACACACAATTCCAAAGCTTCCAGTAACTCCTGTTGCCAATAAAACACTGAACTGGTAATCTCTTTCCACTTACAATCCTCTGGTCCCTTTGAACAATTCCAAAACTATATGATGGGAACAACTTTGAGGTTCTGCTATTCCCTTGATTCACCCACTGGAGGAGTCAGTGAGCAAACAGGATGGGATGGAAGCCTGACTGGGCCCGCAACAGTGCCCTCCTAGGTTTGAAAATTTGCCACTCATGCCTGGTAAAATCCCAAATAAAAGTCAGCTGATAAATTTTCCAAGTCAGAAAATTCTTATGCTGTACAGCAGAGAACCTTAAGGTTGTTTCTTTTAATATCAACCTTTCCAAATGAGCTGGGGTTTGATGACTGATTTTCAGAAGTTAGTAACTATTTGATTATTCACATTCTTTAAGTCTACATTGGGCACTATTTCCAAGAACTGCCATCTCCAAAATACTCTATCAGCCTGATAAATCAAATACAGGATGGCTGTATTTGAAAAAAAAATGTCCTAGGAATTTGGATTAGTTTAGTCATAGGCAGAAGGAACTGGATTGAAGCTCTTTTCCATATACCCTAATCTTTATAACTTAGTTATTTTTTTCTTTTGGCCCCGAGGGAATGAACCAAAACTGACCACCCTGAGGTGTCTCCACTGTACCTAGTAAAGTAACCAACCATCCTGGTTTTGTCTAGAAGTGAGTGGGTCCCCTGAATGCGTGACTTTGGGGGCTAAAAGTTCTCAGGTAAACCAGGGCAAGTTGGTCACCATTAGAGTAAAATAAACAATGACCAAAAATCCAGGTGACAAAGATGTGGGGATGGAGCAAATGGTGAAAAAGGGAAAGGAAAGAGAGTAAGAAGGTATGAGTATGTATCACTCTAAATGACCATAAGTGTCAGGAGTGAACAACTATTAGTTCTGAGCTATAGTCCCACTTGACTAGGGAATACTGTTAAAGCCTCTTTTGGGGTCCACTCTACCAAGGAAAGCAACAGTTTCCATGAACCTAAAGACCTTTGAATAGAAATTCCCAGAAGAGAAGTCACTGCCCCAGGCTGATTCACTGGCAAAGAAGTAAATTCCCAGATCAAGTGGGAATGACAGGATGTACCTGAGTCTCCCATAGGGAGGAACACCTTTGTCAGAAGGTGCTCAGATTAGGAAAACATGAAAAAGATCTCTGTATTGATGAAGTATCACGTCAACTACTATAAATACAACCCATTCAGAGAAATGATAAAATATTTGAGAATTTGAAAAGTAAGTAGTGTGAGGGAATTATCTTGTCAACATGAATACTTATGTAGATGAATTTAAAAAATACTGCCCCATCATGTCATATTTTATAATAAGATTTCCACTACCAAAATTACAGAATGGGTTTCCTTCTGCCCAGAGCATCTGAGCAGTATGAGAATAGAGATCATGTTATTTCTGATTTGGAAAATGAATCAGTTTTGACAATCTACCATCACAGTCTGACTTCTGTACTCATGGTTACCTTTTTCTATGGAAAAATCAGCTTGGGTTAGTATTATTTCCTCCCAGGATGAATGATTTAAATTTAAGCATAAAAAAAATTCAACCAACTCAACATGTTCCATTAGTGTTCTGGTTTGGTTGAGCCTTCTTTCTTTCTTCCCTCTGTTCCCACTTCTAATAGAACAGAGCGGTTTGTTTTGACCAAGATATATATAGCCTGGTTCATACAGACACCAATACTGCACCAAATCAGGGAGAAGAGTGATGGGAAATGTAGATGGACCTCTTATGCCAGACTGCATGATAAGTAACTTTTATGCATGGGGTTTCTATAGGACTACCGAGTGAACATTTTTCTGAGACAACAGTGGAATGATTCACGGTTGGCATATAGCGAGTACCCTGATGATTCCCTGGACTTGGACCCATCCATGCTGGACTCCATTTGGAAACCAGATTTATTCTTTGCCAATGAGAAGGGTGCCAACTTCCATGATGTCACCACCGACAACAAATTGCTTCGAATTTCAAAAAATGGCAAAGTACTCTACAGTATCAGGTAAGCTTCTGTTGGCTGTACCTGTTTACGTCACCATTTTTCTCCTGGCCTGGCTCTGCCTGATTCTGGAGGGTAAGATGTATACAAATATTTGACTTTTGTGGTCTCTTGGTTATCATTTGAATCTTAAAATTGGTGAGAATGCCAGAGGTTCCCACGGTCTCAGAAGTGTGATTCTCCACAAAAAAAATATATTTGGAAACAATATATGTATGTATTTGGTAAGATGGGGGGTGGATATCATGTAAATACCTACATACATGTATTTTTGATTGCTTCAATGAAAGAAGTACAGGCCTTTAGTTCAATTAATCATTGAGCATGATGTAAAATTCTCCATTTCAAATAATTTTGCCATTCTATAACATGTAACCACACATACAAAAACATTGAATGGCTCAGCATGGTCATTGACAGTATACTTTGGGCTGGGTGAGTGAAAAACTGGTTCTAATCTCAGATCTGCTTCTAACAAAACATGTAACCTTGATCTCTTAACTTTTGCTGGGCTTGAGCTTGGGAGTGACAAATCTTGAGATCCAGTTTTGCTTTCACATTCAAATGTGATCTTCTCCAGAATCTTTATCACCCCAACCTCAAAATCATATCTTTCTTTTCTGAACTCTAGTCCCTCTGTGACTCTGTGAGGCTCTTATTTCTTCCTACCTCATATTTTAGCTATTTCTGTATATGAATTTAGCATAAGAACATGGATCTTTGGAATCACACAATCTAGAATCAAATCCAAACTTTGCCACTAAGTTACATCACCTATAACCCTCAGTTACCTAACTGTAAAATGGGAAACACTATATTTATCTCTAAGTATTCTTGTGAGAATGAATGATATAGAGATCAATAAATATTTTCTGTAAAGGTCCAGACAGTAGGTACTTCAGCTGTGTAGGCCAGACTGTCTCAACTCTGTCACAACTACTCAACTCTACCATTGTAGCACAAAAGCAGCCATAGACAATACTCAGACAACTGAGTGTTCTGTGCTTCAGTAAAATGTTATTCATAAAAATAGAGAGTGAATTAGATTTGGCTCTTTGGCCATAATTTGCCAATCTCTGATACAGCGTATATAAAAATACTTGCCACAGTACCCGACGCAACATGTGTGCTCAATAAATGAGATGACAGCTGTCTGTATTTTAAAGTTAATGTTCTTTCTAAATAGTAAGCTCTTTAAAGCCAAGACATTTGGATTTTGCACCTTCTGTAACTCCTCCCCAAGATCCAAGATGATGTACTGTATATGAGAGATATTTAATACATTAAACAAATACTGACATTTTAAAGATCCTTTGTAGAAGTTCCCCTTCCTCTCCAATCTTATTACAAAAGAAAATGGACAGCTTGTATCCTTGCAAATAATTTTCAGAAGTCTGTAGAGTCACCACCATCAAAACCTCATTTCACAACTCTCTATACAATTTAGGTCTGTACCGTGTATTCCATTCTTAACCTAGTAATTTCACAGTTTGCTGATGGCTGACAGACCGAATGTCTTGTGGAATGAAAGAGGCTGCTCATTTGTAAAAATTGGCAAAGTCATTGCTTACACAAAAACAAGGAAACTTCCTCCACTTGATTTTTAAGGAACTTTACTTTTATTTTTATTTTTATAAACATTTAAGATATGAGGAATTCTTAATCTCAGGAAACAAACTGAGGGTTGCTGGAGTGGTGGGGCGTGGGAGGGATGGGGTGGCTGGGTGATGGACATTGGGGAGGGTACGTGCTATGGTGAGCGCTGTGAATTGTGTAAAACTGTTGATTCACAGACCTGTACCTCTGAAACAAATAATACATTATATGTTAAAAAAAGAAGAAGAAGAAGAAGAAGAAGATAGCAGGAAGGGAAAAATGAAGGGGGGTGGAAATCGGAGGAGGAGACGAACCATGAGAGACTATGGACTCCGGGAAACAAACTGAGGGTTCTAGAGGGGAGGGGGGTGGGGGGATGGGTTAGCCTGGTGATGGGTATTAAAGAGGGCACGTACTGCGTGGAGCACTGGGTGTTATATGCAAACAATGGATCATGGAACACTACATCAAAAACTAATGATGTAATGTATGGTGATTAACATAACATAATAAAATAAAAAAATAAATAAGGTAAACATTTTATGGAAACACAGAATATTTCACATGGTGAAGTGTTTGGTGTTAGATGTAGTATTGGGCACAACCTAAGCTGATGTGACCTGATGAAATGGGACATATGTGGAGCGTGGTGCTAGGGAGGAGAGTTATAAAAAGCAGCACAGGGTATCAGTGGCTCCAGCTAACCCCCTGGGCCTTGGGTGGCATTTGCTCTAGTAAATACCTGGCATCGTGCACTGCTGAAATAAAACCAAGTTTTTTCCCTTCTGTTCTATGAAGGCCTTTCCATTCTAGAACCATGAAGAATAAAATGTTCCCTAGACCTAGACCCAGAGGCAATTCTTCTCTCATTCCCAGTTTAGCATATTATAAGCTCTGAAACACCCTGACAATTGTTTTGGATTGGGTAGAGTTTGTCCTGTCACAGGCTGGTTTAGATTTTTCCCTCATTGTGGGTGTTCTGTGAAATCAAAGGAAAGATCCTTGGTGTAGGAGAACTGGGCATGTCATTTTACAGAAACACAGCTCTTGGCAGATTTGAGTTACAGGAATCTAATTATTTGCCTGGAAGGATTTTCAATGAGCCAGACACTGTGCTGCTGGGCCTGGAGATCCAGAACTGAGTAAGATACAGTCCCTGCCCTGGAAGGGCTCCAGTCTAACAAGGCAGGCAGAGATAAGATAAATTAAGTAATAGGAATAAATGATAAACAAGGAAAAGAAAAGTGGCTCTAACTTTGCAAATGAATATGTGACTCAAATATTGTTAGAATTTGGGGGCTGGGACCTACATATCTGTTTACTTGAGTCACTGAACTCAATTTAACTAGAAGGCAAGGAGTAATTAGTGCTAATAAATGCCCAGCTGCAGGTCTGATTCAAGTTTAAGGCCAAGCAGGTGACAGTTTCTGATGTTTTAAAGGTATTGGAAAGATTCCTGCTGATGTTGCATTAGGGAGGATTTTCCCTCTACTCTCAGGTTTACAATGCAAATACCCCTAGAAGAGGGAATCCACTGACTTAAATTCATACTAAGCTGTAAGGAGCTGATATGAAATTTTCGTTTTGACAGTACATTTGAGGCCTATGAGGAATAGTGAGAATGAGCAAGTTGGATGCCTGAGACGAGAAATCAGGATGAAGAGGTTAAGAAAGATACAAGGAAGGGATACAACAGAAGTACCAAAGATAAAATCATGAATTGTCTCTACCTTACATATTTAAATAACTACTTAAACACTGGTCCACATTAAAATAATTATGTTCTGTAGTGATGTTTTATATATGCATTTTCTGAAACCTAAAACAAATAGATGATAGCATTTCGTCCACAAACAATTCCATGCTTCCTTAGCTTTGTGGGAGCAGAAGTAAAATTAACTCCACATGGAAACCAAAGCCTAAGGCTTTGATGGCTGAACAGAACACAAAGAGAACTATGCAGTCCATTGATTTCATAATAAGCAAGATCACACTTTCCGAGAAGTTTCTTAAAAGGCAGCAGTTTAAAAAAAGAGGGGACAGTAGACCAGAACTCCACAAGTGTCCTGCAGATCCAAACACCTGGGGTACTTTAGTAAAATTCAAACAAATCTTTTAAATAGGAGCCAAAGGTGTTAGCTCATTGTTGGAAAATTTCTATCCAGTGTGGCAGGACACAAGTCTTTGCTGATGAAAAAGTGTCAAATCTATTTTTGTCCACTTCTCTTCTGATTTCTTCTTTGATGTTCTCTTCTCTAATACATTTGATCTTACTCTTTGTTTTCTTTTTAAGTTTTTTGTTGACCCACTCCATTAAGTATTGATCATCCCTGACCAAAATATAAACAAGGACACACATCTTTCTTTGTATATTCCCTTCAGAGACAGTCAAATTCTAAACTCATGTTACTTAAAAAGGCCTGAATCCATAGTGGAATAGTGAGGTGAGCCTTGAGTATTGTACATATTATTGCTCAAACAATATTTGCTGAATTGAATATAATGGATTGCAGTAAAAGTCAGGGCACCATAGCATATGGTGTGTAATATGAAAGAAAAAAGGAGAAGGTATTTTTGGAGAGGACCAGCTTGTCTCATTTGTCCACAATGTCTTTGCTAATATTTGTTTTCTTTCTTTACTTTCCATTGCTTCTGAGAATTTTATGCCAGCATTCTGACTTTTATAGAAGCATAGGATTATTTTTTTTAATTTGAAGGTATTATGTTGCAAAGTATCTCATCCAACACCCTTATTTTACCAATGAGGAAGTGAGTTCTTTCATCAAGTTAGGTGAGGGAAAATAATGGAGCCCATAAATAGGAAAGGTAGGTCAAGAATCAAACTCTTGACTTCTATTTCAATGCTATCGTCTCCTACCCCACATTAATTCTTCATTTGCTCCAACTCAAGTCCAAAGACACAAACAAATACAATTCCAAAGGCATGTCATTTTGGAACCAACCTTTTTGGAACTCATTTTTCAAAGAACTATTGGAGGAAGAAGATAAGATTTAAGATGAGAACATAAAGTATCTTCAAATTTTGCAAATGTCTGAAAAGACTATTTAAATTCAGGGTGCAACAGTTGACTTTCAATTCAAGGTGCAACAATGTCAAGATCGATTTGATAGTTTTACATAGCATATGTCACTAACATGGCATATCTACTTTCTGAAAAATTTTATTATCCCAGGGATGAAAATCATTAAGTCAAATTTCCTCCCTTCAGGCAACCTGTTGAGAACTCATTCTGGTTTTAAAGACCCTCAGAGAAGGAGACTTTATATTCTTTCTTTGGATCCTACAATAAGTTACTCTAGCATCATGCAGAAATTCTTCCTTATATAACTTAAATCACAGTTGCTACAACTTAAATCAGTAGCTTTTTCCTACATTTGTTAACATG